TGACAAAGCTTACAAAAACTGCTTAAATGTGACCAGAAAAAGAAAAGCCACAGAAGCCAAGTGATTCAATGTCAAACAGGGTCCTAGCTATCTTTGAATTGCATCTTTTAATAATATAGTTTTTTCCCAATTAAATATTCTTTGAAAATGTTTTCCCCTTATGTTCTAAGAAGATTGGAAATAAATGTGGAGAGGCTGACACCAGAAAAGTTTCAAAGAACTTAACTAGGATTCTAAGTGCATGGCACACAAATTTGGAGTTGAACTTGTCTGATTTAAACAAAATTTCTTTATGGATCTAACAATGTGACAAATACACTGTATAAGTTATCATGTTATTTTTTTTTTTAAAAAATGGAAGCTATTACTAAGCAATAAATTTATTAGTTCATTTTTAGGAGAAAGTTTTATAATGATAAATTTCCTCTTGAGAAAATTTTAACTCAGAGAAACTACTTTATTAAGTTCTCCCATTAAGAAATAAAACAAAATGAAATAAGTTGTCCCATCATGGATAACCATTTAACCAAAGGACAGAAATGGTTTGAAGAAGATGCTTAAAATCTAAGGCCTGAATTCACTGCAACATGTAGCCAATTAGTTGAATCATTCCCTCTATTAAATAATTATAAAGCTGGGTGACTTTTTATGATTAATGAGATCTACTGGTGTGGCACTGTGGGTTAATGCACTGGACTGAAAAGTCGGTTTGAACCACAAGGTTGGCAGTTCAAGCTCACCAGCCACTCCTGGGAAATCCTATACAGGATCGCTATGGGTCAGCACCGACTCAACGGCACTCAACAACAACAACATTATGTCCATATAAGTTACAGCAAATCACAAAATAAAACATTAAAAGAACTATGCAACAAACACTTTAAATATTCAACTGGATCCAATTGCTTGTTTGCTAAACTTTTTCAGTGTGTAAAGGAATGAAAGGGGCCCTGAGTATTTAATATTATGTCTATATAGTGAGCCTAAAACATGAAAATGTTTCCAAAATCTGAAAGTATACATAAAATGGGAAAAAAACCCACATGTTGCCTTTTAAAACACTGGAAAAAGTCAAGTTGTAGTTTAAAATACGGTAATTTGTTTAAAAATTCAGTCAGAAACTGGATGCCCTAATGATGTGATTTCATTGTAAAGATTCCCTCTTTCATATTCATATTTTAAAATGTAGATTTTAAATTAGGTTTTAAAAATCATGTGTATGTTCACAACATTTAATAGGAACACTATGAACATCACAGTAGTAACAGAATTGAAAAATTTCAAGACACATAGATTTATTTTGGGCATACTTTTAACATAAACATAAAATTCTTCTGAAGTATTTACTTTCAAATGTATCTGCCATGAGATAAATTCCTCAGTTTTTCTTTATATACATAAACACTCAGTTTTAACAAATTACTTACTCAATAGTTTCAGTTGTCATAGTTCAGTCTATGTTGCAATACAAGTATTTCAAAAGTGGTCTACAAAAATGTCCATAGGTAATACCTGATTACTGTAGGGTATGCTTTTGAAAATTAGTCCTGCATTTTAGTGTTTGATATAATATTTGATACAAAGAGAATACGTGAAACATTATTGTGGCTCCATCATGACACTAAACTTGCTGCAATATGGGTTAAACGTTTTTAATGGCAAAATAATGATATACAATTCTGTATGCATGGCTTTTTAGTTATAACTAATGACAATATAAAATTATAAAACTCCACAACTTAATAGAAAATGTTAGCTAATATAAAACACAAATTAAATGCTGATTTTGCTGATAGTCTGATACTGCCAAATGGTAATATCTTAATTCTCAATTTTATGGAACAATTAAAGTTAGCTAATGAATTTGAACACAACAAACTATGATTTTTTATGTTTTTAGATATAAATTAAATTATTAAATATGACTGAGAAGGAAAACATTGAAGGGCTAAAGTAAATTTGTCTGTAGAACTGAGGCTTGGATGTATTTGAGAGGCCTGAAGCATAGTGAAGGATTATAATGTTGGAAAGGATAACCAATTTCTCTCTCTTTCCCCCACTCCATTAGGTAAGAGAAATGAATTTTAGGTGAAACATAAGACAGGATAAATGAGGAAAACTTTCCTGAATAGAGTAAGTCAGACATGAACTATGAAATGATTCAAGGCAAATAATGGCTAGGTGCCCCAGAGAGCCCACCAGTGCCTACTCTTTCGTACATTAATTGGACAATAGCTGGTGTGTCACCAGCTGCAATAGCAACCCACCAGATTACTTATTAAACAAGGAACATATTTGGTAGGAGTCATACAAGGTAGATTTGTTAAAATTTGCATAGTTCAGAGTCTAGAAATTATATGCAATTTTATATGAAGAGTAAACTGCCAGTAAAACGGTATGAATAGCCTAGGGTTTTTATGGGGTTTCTTGTGCAATTTCTAGAATGATTGGTCTGATCAACTAATGTGTGTACAAATTCTAACTTTACAAAATTATCTGGAAAGAAATAGCAATAGTTATGTAATAACTTGTAACATAAATTTATAATATTGTACATAAATATAATGTAATCTTGAATTCTATAAGTAAACTACCACCAATAAAATATTAATGTCCATAAATATGAAAAAAAAAAAAAAGAAACAAAAAATTAATTGACGTATTTTCCCAATTTAAATGACTCTCAAGACAGAAGTTTCCAAAGCCTGGAAACCAGCCTACCTGATACTCTATATCAAGCTTTAAAAGACACATTTGGAAATGTTTAAAGTAAAAATACTTTCCAAAGTTTGTGATTAATTTCTCTAAAACAATATTTAATAAGTAAATAAAGTATATTTGCATGTTTTTTGTCCTCTCTTATTTTCTATATTCAGAACCACTGCAGTTTTATGTAGAACAAGTGAACACATATAAGGAAGCTATACTAACCTGCTTTATAAAAGGACAGTATCCTTCCTACATCCTACTCAATTAGTTCTCCTGGTAAGTACATTTTGTAAAGTCACTAGTTGTAGATAATTTTCCAGATGGAGTGAAAGAACTGACGAGACTGGAAGTTCATATTAAATTAACTCCTCCAATTCTACCAAGGAATTAATTTAGGAAAAAGTTTAAATTCCTACCAGCTACCTTTACTTTTCCCTTAAAATGTACTTTAGTTCTGTAATATGAGAATCTTAGGAGTAAAGAGAAGTGAAATGATTTTAAGACTTCTGATGGCAGATGTGGGGTTGAATTTTGTTTTGAATTAGTAATTGTTTCTCAAGCAACAATCAGCACAGACATGTCTACACATCTCATGTTTGCCTATCTTCTAAAACCCTAATGATAACTGACTGGTTTTACGTATATACAAACCACCAGTGAGCTGGAGCATAACGAATTTCCTACAAAACGTCAGCACATTATACATCTTGCCACATAGGCCAATAAAACATAAAAGGTGGAAATCCTGGGCACCAGTAAAATAATCTTAATTCTAAGAATTCAAAACTGTGTTCAGCAAATGAACTAAATAAATGGTTAAGTGTTGTAACACAAAACTCCTAAAATGGTCAAGAAGGGATGACTTATATACAAGACACAAGCATTTTAGACAGCAAATTGGAAAATTTCAGGCTGTCTTTACCTAACGATGAAGAAAAAAGAATATGAGTGAGAAACATGAATCAGGAGATAAACACCTCAACAGTTTCGGATTTTTGTGTATTCTTTCTTAGTTTCCAATTTCCTAGAGAAATCTGAGCTAAAACATAAATATAACAAATCTGAAAAAAAAAGTAACGTTATTTTTCATAAATTGCTAAAAAATAATTTGTGCTTATTAAAAAATGAAGGTATCCCTTATTTGACAGAAAGTGCTTTACTTAAAAAACAATGCAGAGGTGGTTGTTTTAGATTGTTAGTAATGAGAGCAGGAGAGCTTTAGAAAAACTCATTTGAAGGCTACATATAAGCACATCATCACTAAATGACATACACTAATAAGATGAATAAATATGAATCACATATTGGAGATCATGTGAAATGGTATCAATAGGAGAACTTATGAAAATAGAATTTGCAAAGAAACGCACAAGTTTGAAGAGAGTGAGATACATCTCAGTCTGCTCAAACAGGAAGATCTGGCAGCTATCCTTCCTGCCACAGGGATCTGGCCTGCCAGTTAAATTATTTTTCTACACAGTGTTTTAGGTCATAGAAAGAGGAATTATTTTCAGATAAAGTTACCAGGTTTTGTTTGGAAACAGAATAAAGATACTTATAGGCTCAAGACAATGGATTACTTTTGAAGTTATTTTAAACAGGAAATTTAATTTTATTTGAGTCAGAAGTTGCCTAGTCAGAGAACAAAAGCTATAATACTATACTGTCTTAACCATATACCTACTTAAAAATTCCATATAAGTATAGCTCTATAAGTTTTCTGATAAAAATGTACTTCTTAAATAGATGAATATGGAATATGAACATACATATAAAAATAAAATAAAATGGAAAAAAGCTAATATTTGATTTACTCTAGTTTGTTCTATGCTCTTATGAACTTCCAAAACCGGAACCAAATGTGTTTCTTAAAATGCCTGGAAGGAAATGTTTATGATTTGGAAGGTTAAGAAAAAAGGCATTTCAAATTGGGTTTTGGTGGTTCCTTCTTTAGAGCCCTTTTGAGACAATGTTTCTATAGTCTCCATGATAAGGAGAGTGAAAGCATGCAATCAGGTAGCTGCTTTCACCTGTGCAAAATTCACTGTCATAGAACTGACCTGCCAAAAGTATGGGGGTAGAAGGCTGGGAGAATAATGTTCGTATTATGGAAGAAAAAGTGTGTCCTGTTAGGAAGAGAGCTTATAAGAAAGCTTATTTGTGGCCTATAGACTATTGCACATTCAAACAAAACACAAGAGAAAAGAATGTCCAACAGCTAATATGTTCAAGAACATATCAACATATAAACTACCTTGTGCCCAGAAATTAAAATGGATACCAGACACCACTGCAGTCAAACATGTCTTAATTTGCTTCTGTTATAATGACCTTTACAAATGGGACCAAACTGATTATCAGCAATACACTGCTTTTGCTTTTTTTTTTTCTTAAAAAAATATTTGAGACCACTTTTGATATACACACATATAATTCTGTGGTCATAACAGACAAATATAACTTTAGCGAGACTGACCAAAAGTGCAAAACTTAAAAACAAAAAATTAAAAAATATGGAAGCATAAGCTAAAATTTTCTGCATAGCTGAAATCTATTTAAAGCAAGTCCTTGTTGAAGGATGGGAGGGGGTGTTGACAGGAGGACAAAGCAGTTTTTTAAATGTCTTCAGTTTAAATGATGCAAAAAATAATTTCACTCCGTAGACTTAAAATATTTCACAGACAGTTCATTCCTATATCTTTAGACACCATGGTTGTGGCAGTGCCTCCTTCTGCAAGGTAAACAGCGGTGCTGGATTTGGAATGAACTGCCCTGTCACTGCCATTGTTGTTGACCTCACAGTCCAGTGGTTCAGTGGAGATGACCCAGGTGGAAGGGCGCCACCGCTTAAGAGAATAGGGAGTTTTCACACGTTTCTTGATTTTTTCACCTGATCCTGATTTGCCATCTTGTGTTGATTCACCTACTAAAAATAAAGATACAGAAAAATGAACTCAATATAAAGTAACTATTCAGAAGTAGAGGTTTAGGGTTTAAATTTCTCAAGAACAGGTCAAAAACTGTGTCTGTCGGCAGTATTAATGGTCATTTAAAAAAAAAATTGATGATGCAGGCAATACTTTTCTAGGCAAAGTCTAACCAATTTATTTTTAAGACTCTTTAAGCCAAGTGTTTATTTTTTTTTAAAAGAACTGACAGTTATTCTACAAGGCAGGGAAGAAAACAATACAGAAAATGTGAAATTCAAAGTTCTCAATGGTATTCCAAATCCTTTGGTTACTGAAAGAGGTTCTAACTTAAATGCATTTAATCATTCCACTTAATGCTTCAAGTGAATCAAAACTTTAAAGGTTCCTGGCATATAACATTAAGAAGAATGGCAGATACATAAGAATACAATTTTCTCGAAATCCCCTCTACTCACACCTGATTAGGTTTTCTTTTTTTTCAAACAGAGCCCTGCAAATGGTCTATGATGAAGGCACTCAAGAGGTGAGATTCCACCCATTATTTTTTGAGACCTTCGGCCTTCCTTTCACCCATTTGTACAACCACTAAACAAGACAACGTCCCCTGCCTACCTTACCCCATCCCTAATGAATGCTGTCAGTCTGAAAGATAAAACAGTCTAATGACTGTTACAGATTTTGTGTTGTAATCCCCCTGTGGCCAGAAACCAAGCATTTTATTTGTTTATTTAAATTGTTCTGGGGCCCACAGCATAATACTAATAGAATATAGGGATTCAACTCATAACTCTTGAAAAGATAGCAATAAACTGAGACCAAATTTATAGTTTCTGGTCACTTTTCTGAATTTTAAAGATTTATTAATGTTGTTTTTAGGGGCAATTGAATCAGTTGTGATTCATAGCAACTCTGTATTAGGGTTTCCTATACTGTAATCTCTACAGGAGCAGAAAGCCTCATCTTTCTTCCTCAGAGTAGCTGGAGCTGGTGGCTTGAACTGCCAACCTAGTGGTTAGTGGCCAGTGTTTATCATACTAAGATTTTAGTATGATAAAATCTTAACATAGATATTAATATACACATATTAATATGCACAATGCACTGGTTCAAAAATTATATTGAAAGGTCTATTTAGCTAACCTCTACCATTCATAGCAAGTATGTGAGTGCATTAAAAGCAGGAGTCTCATAAAGCACATATGAAATTGGGAATTATTCTGAGTACTGTAACACTGACTTCTAAATTGTTGCATACTGTTGAGTGAGTCGGTGTTGTTGTGTGATGTTGAGTGACCTGGTATAGGGTTTCTGAGAGTGGCTGGTGGGTTTGAGCTTTTCACTTTACATTTATTAATCCAGTGCTTATCCTACAGTGTCACACAAGGGCTCTATAACTATCAATAACAAAATTTACTTTATTCTCTTTACAATAGTCTAATTACTTTTGAGGACTACCAATTAGCTTCTAACTTCATTTCCAAAAATGACAAAGGTAAGATAATCAATGGTTGAAATGCAATCTGATTCCATCTAAGTAGCTAATTAAATGCCCCCCAAAAATACACCAGGAGAGATTAAATAGTACTTCCACTTACACTGCATACTGCTGCCATCTAGGATATTTGTGGCTGAAAGATCCAGAGAATTAGGCCTCTGTGCTCTTCTGGGCTTTGATGGTCCATGATCTGCTACTGTGCTTGGAACACCCTGGGTAAGACTATCTTGTTCTGAACATGGATTGCTGTTGTTATTATTGGAATTAGTTCGGCCACCTTCTAGGGGCCGTTCCCTCCTGTCTACAAGACGATCCAGAACACCTTCATCATGGCCAGCTTGTTGTTCTCGTCTCAGTAAAGGTTCATGTTCATCAGGACTGGAATTAATATTCAGCCGGGTATCCTCACCAATGAATTGACTCTGCAGCATTTCTTGGGCCCTATGTGCCACTGTGTTGGCCGTCTGGCCAGATGGTACTACCCCATTGGCATACTGGGTTGTGGCAGCATGTGAGTTAATGTGGTTTCTACCTGCCACTCCATTCATGGTTACTGTTGCCACATGAGGTTCTGCAGCATTGACTGTATTCATCTTGGCAACTCCAGTTTCTACTTGTTTCAAGTTTGATTTGTGCTTGCTGCCAAATTTCAGCCGGGGCTCTTTTGTTGAATTTTTGGTGTTCAAAGGCAAACTGGTAGGTCTCTTAGGAAGGTTTTGTTGCTTTGGGAGAGGATAAATCTGAGTAGATGGGACATCAGGAATTAAACATGCTTGGCCATTTGTAGCCTGTGTGAAGTCCTGCTGTCCAGTCACTTCTACTGCAAGTTTTATGAGTGGGTAAAGCAAGCTAGAACTGGTACTGCTCAGTGGATCTGGCCCACTGAATTGTTTAAGAGAATGTTCCATGAGATTCTCATCAGAGCTTTCCTTGAGGTTCTTATCAACTTCTTTTGGGTCTAGCTTGTTGGTCTCCAAGTCTTCCTCTGTCAGTTGTAAGCAGACAGGGGTTGGCCCAATTGGCTGTGCAACATTTGTGGCCTGTAGACTTGTTTCATCTGAGTAAGGCATCTCAGATATAGTGGTCATGCCAGTACTTGGAGTGAGGCCAGTGGTGTTTGTGGTTGTTGTGTTGGTGGACAGGCTGGTAACACTTGTTTCAGGGCTGGGGATTCGAGCTTGTGCTTGCTGTCGTTCATAGTTAATTGAGTTTCGGTTCTTTTCTCCTATAGTCAGAGGTGTACTGGACATTGAATGCTCAGAGGAAATATTCTTCACAATGCTGTCAGTGTGATGGATAGAGTCTTCAATGTATGAGGAAGAAGAATAATCTGGGTAGGGGCCAATCTTTGGCATACGTCTATTATGGGACAGGTTGCTTAAAGAAAAAAGCAAAAAGTATCACATTGAGAAAGTATTTTTATGACAAATTGTTCTCTCCAAGTTTAACACAGTTGATATTTCAAGTCTGAGCTATGTTTTATTTTATTCGTGACCCACATTATTTTAGATGTAATTTAAATTTTGAATCAATCAAATGTCAATTAATAGATTGCTAATATCATAGTTTTATATCCGCGGGAGAAAGATGAGGCTTTCTACTCCCGTAAAGATTTATACCCTCGGAAACCCTGTACAGGGCCGCTATGGGTCGGAACCGACTCGAAGGCACTTAACAACAACAACATATGAATTAAGCCCAATGAAAAACCTATATGGATATGGCTATTTTTATACATTTTCATTATTTTGGCTTACAAGAGTTAATTTAAAAATATCTCTATAATATCACTAAATAAATCTTTATGAGCTACATTATATATTAAAGATGCTTGCACAAGAAGATATATTAACTTTCATGAGAGGAGGACGTATGTGGTGTGTGTTTCTTTTGTGCTCACATAATTCTAGATACATGGTGTCTCCTTAACAAATATGTTTATCAATTAAGGTCCAATGGTCAAACGGCATAAATATAAACTTAAAAGTTTTTCCAAAGTATCTCCATTACGAGGCACATCTAGCAAATGGAATATATCTTCCAGGGATATTATGAGTCATATAAACAAAAATCTTAAAGTATAAGACAGAATGAAACACTCAGATTAAAAAAAAAAAAAAAAATAAATTCAAGGCTTCAGAACTGCTCTCCCTAATACTCAGAATTCTTCACAGTCATGGTCACAGTCATGGGAGTGATGGCTCTTGAGAATCACATTTTAATACTGTTATTAAATATACTAATAGAATTTCATCTGTGACAGTGAACTTTGCACAAGTGAAAGTAACTATCTGATTTCATGCTTTCTCTCTACTTATGGAGAATACAGAAACATTGTCTCAAAGAGCTCTAAACGAGGAACCACCAGAACCTAATTTGAGATATCAAGCAGTCAGCAATTTTCAAGTGGTTGCTATTGTTAAAGTGTTATCGAGTTGGTTTTGACTCATAGTGAGCCTGTATAGGCTTTCCACAGAGCAGCTGGTGGGTTTGAACTGCTGACCTTGTGGGGTTCGCAGTACAGTGCTGATCCTACATAGAAATGAAATAAAAGTCATTTTTTTTAGAACCAAAAGTCATAGTTCTAACAATGTTTCATAAAATAATGTTCATGATAGGCTGGAAAAACCTTTCAAATTGCTTTCATACAAAATTTGTATTATATTTTATAGGAAAATTTGAGTATATTCTATAAGAGCATTGAACAGGAAATCTACAAACCTCATCCTCCAGTAAAATAGTGACTAGACAAATGTATAGACAATAGTTTTGTTTTCTTAAAAAAAACAAAAAACAAGAAACAAAACAGCAGGAGTGAATAATAATAACAAAGGATCAATGAGACAATATATGTATTTTCATAGTTTTGCATCTATGAAAATAGTTTATTATTATAGAGAAGTTGTACCCTTACTAGAGAAAGAGTACTCTCTCTTACTTTATCTTTAGTTATAAAAACACATTTCATCTTGCACTCATTCCAAACAAAATCTTAATAGAAAAATGGGACTATTAAAAGAGACAATTTAACTTGACTATATTAGTTAATCATTGTCCTTGTATGCTCGTTTGTCAGCATACTTCCCTGGTCTCAGTTGCCAATACTTATTGATGGATGTCTTACCGCTCGTTCTGCACAGCAGTAGACATTGGATTGACTGTTGGGCTCACAGACTTGTTTCTTTCCCATATCATCATAAGTTCAGCCATCCTCTCCTCAGCACACTGAGCAGTAAGCCGAGCCTCTGCATCCTGGTCCCAACAGTCTTCGATGGTCTCCTTGAGTGATCTCACCGCCTGTAATACAAAGTACATGTCAAACAGTGTACCTTTTTTAAAAAAAAAACTTTTTCATTTACAACATGAGGCAAAAGAAAATTTTCATTAGTTTACACATAGCTGTAAAAAACCATTTTAGTCTTCAGGGATTAGTAAAGGATTACTTTTCTCAAGGATCAAGTAAGTAAGCGAACATGAATGTAGCTCCTTGAAGAAATATCTACAAGAATAAACAGTTATCTTTTTTAAAAACAGATTTTTTATATCTTGGTCGCACAAATCTAGAATCACTTCAGAATTGTAATTTTTTTTTTCAAATTTTAATTCATTTTTTAACTGTTTTATTGTGAATTATGTGGTCGTTTACATGGGAGAACATTAACTTTACATTCATCCTATTGTATTTTGTTACACTGCCATGGTTACAATCCCCTCTGTGCATCATCAACCAACCAAAGGGTATACCCTGCAAGCCTGTCTCCCGGTTGTCAGCACACAGTCCATCTTCATCTCTGGGGCTAGAGTTCCCACCGCTCCATCTCTCCACATCATCATCTCTGCCTCCATCTCTGGCATCACTGCTTCTCTGGGTAGGGTCCCTCACTCCACTCTTCTCCCTTGATGGTCCCAGGGGCCTCTGCTCCTGACATGCAAAGTCAACCTCTCCCCTCGTTTTGCTACAAAACGTCTGTCTACCTTTACATTTTCAACCCTCACAGTCAGTCCTGACAGTAGTTATTCACTATTGTACCATATGAGTGCTATCCAACATCTTTCATTAGTCCTGCCCACATAGATTGGATACTACTCAGTGGAGATTCAACCTTCCTCCTCGCCGTCTGGATCTAGGGTCCCTCTTGAAAGCCTGTAAGCCAGTCACTTCTTGCCTTTGTAGCCACCCCCCCTCCACTTTGGGTAGCCAATGTCCAAGTTGCCCATCCCTGTATACTCTGGGTAAAGATTTGTTCCCTCTTGTGAGCTACTGCATCCATAGGTGTAGGTCAAGTTCATCAAATTGTATCAGAATACTCTTTTTTTTCCTCTTCTTTCTTCTTCTAGTTGAGGTCTGATCATCCAGCCATTGAAGCCAGGTCTGATCATCCAGCCATTGAAGCCCATCCCTGTATACTCTGTAAAGATTTGTTCCCTCTTGTGAGCTACTGCATCCATAGGTGTAGGTCAAGTTCATCAAATTATATCAGAATACTCTTTTTTTTCCTCTTCTTTCTTCTTCTAGTTGAGGTCTGATCATCCAGCCATTGAAGCCAGGTCAAGTGGGCCTTATCTGCAAGTGTGGGTGTTCTTGTGCATATGTCCTCTCTTCTTATCAGCTGGACGCTTCACTCTCCACTCTAATCCTCTGTGGCTATGTCACAGACTCTGGGCCCAGGAGTCCCCAGGTCATGCCAAACTGATGGCCAAGCAGGTCTCCACTCGGGTTCACAGGAATGTACTGAACGTGGTTGGACTTAACTCACTCCTTCACTGATGTTCTTCTCTCACTTCTCCTTATTGGTGACCAAAGTGGTCACCAGTCAGAGCACATGTCTGTCTGTGTATCAGAGTTATTTCTTTGGGTCTTTTTTTATTATGCTTCAAAATTTTCACCTGCATTGATATTTACATTTCCTGTCTTTAAAACACTTACTTTCAAAAAAGATGATCTTAGTCTTGGATTGTCATAGTAAGGAAACACCAATATAAGACACCCAGTTAAATCTGAGTTTTATATACACAATTATTTTTTAGTGTAACCATATTCCATTAAATACTTTATCTAGCAACCCAGATTTCTTAAATTATATATAATTATATTTTAAAAGTATGGCCCTATAAAAGAAAAAAATGACTCTGTTTGACAAATCAAAACCCTCTGCTTTAAATAAAAAAAGAGAGTGAAAAGAGAAGACTCAATCTGGGAAGAAGTATTTATAAACCATATATCTGATGAAGGACTAAGATCCAGAATATATAGAATATAAAAATAACTTTAAAACTTAATTTTACATATATATGTGTGTGTGTATATATCTAAAAACTCAGTAAAAATGGTAAATCTTGAATACACATATCATCAAAGAAGGAACAAGGATGGCAAATAAAAACCTGAGAAGATGCTAAAAGTTACAGTTGTTGTTTTGTGACATGCTGTCGAGTCGGTTCCGACCCACAGTAAGCTTGAACTACTGACCTTGCAGTTCAAACAGCTTTGCAGTCTGGCACATTAATCCACAGCGTCACATCAGGAAAACTATTAGACGTTATGAAATGTCTATGATAGTCAAAATATTACCTTGAATATATCCCACTTAAATCTAGAGACCATCTCAAGAACAGATTTGATGCATTAGACCCTAATGAGCAAAGACCAAGAGTTGTGGGATGACATCAATACAGGAAGAAAGTCAAAGGTCATTAAAAATGAATATTAGAAGAGACTGTAAAATTTGCTTTTGAGAATACAGAAACTAAAATGAATGGAAAAAAATGAAGAAGTAAAAGAGCTCAACAGAAAATTTCAAAGAGCAGTTCCAAAACACAACATCAAGTATTGTAATGAAATGTGCCAAGACCTGGAGTTAGAAAACAAAAAGGGAAGAACATGCTCAGCATTTCTCCAGCAGGAAAAACTAAAGAAAAAAATTCAAGCTTCCATTTACAATACTGAAGGATATAAGCAAAATATCAAATGATGCAGAAAGCATCATAAGAAGATGAAAAGTGCTGGCGACAGCATCCGCAAGTACTGAGAAGCTGTGGCCCTGTGACACAATGGATGAAAATCCAACCCCGGAGCCCTCCTCAAGATTGCGAGCCATGGACCCTGAGGGCCAAGGAAGTGACCTCCCGAAGTCC